TAGCCCCGAGATTTGTAGGACCATACCGAGTTTTGGGGCAGCCTACAAGTTTGAGTTACCCGAAGGACTGTCAGGAGTTCATGAGGTGTTTCACGTTTCCCAGTTGAAGAAGTGCCATGCAGAGATGACCAATATTCCCCTGTAAGGACGCTTGACCCTGGAAAGGATAATGATGTTCCACGAAGTAGAATATGGACTTCATAAGTATAAGTTTTTTTATCTTGGTATGTGGGATATTCCACGAGGATGAATAGATGAATTACTATTGGATATAAAGGAGGTATGATGTCGTAAATATGGATCAATGGAAACTCCATGATGAGTCTGAGTAATCATGTCCTAGTTTGGTGCCAATAGAAGGAAGGAAGACATTACAATTGGATGGATTAAAGAATACTAGGAAGTTGGAAGTTGGAATAATGACCAGTTGCCCGATGATAAGTTCAAGGTTTGCAAGTGATGGGATGTGCCATAACTCACAGGCCCAGGACCTGCCAAGAAGCAAGCACACTCTTGCTGAAGGAAAAACCCTGGAAGAGGATATGCCCTTATCGATAGACGATTTTTAGGAGTAACGCAAAACCTGAGAGTTGTGAAGGAACGATAGATGTTTGTCTGGCTTGCAGAATCAATGGATTATCCGAACTTGGTTCGTCGACAAGAGAAATTCTGCAATGCTTGTGAGGATGACCGAGTGTTACAATGCGAGATTCGCTAAACCGTATACAAGGTAATGATTTGGGTGCGGGATGGATTGATCACCATACCGACTTACTCTTATTATTTGCCTTGCTATATGGGATTGTAAATCTGAGTGACTTACCTATAGCAGAGAGACGGCGATGAAAACCTTGTTTAAACCTTAGAAGGGTATAGCAATTTTTTCCCTTGTACAAGGCAGCTTTGCCAACCGTAGGTTATACGGTGAGGATCAACCAGACCCATTTCCTGCAGAAGGAACCATAAATTGTTGACCACCATGAGATATCGATAGTTGTTTAGTTTTGGCGCAAGACCCGTCTGCTAAGAAGACCCAATCTCGGAATAACCTTACCAGGATGAAAGTACAGAAGAATTGAGGAAAAAGGTTATGCCACTACCGGAAGAGCTCAGAGAAGGAATTTTCTCGAGGATCTGAGAAGACCAACACTGTCAAGAATAAGGAGGGAGTATATGAGTTTTGATAGAACCGTAACCACGCTTCTAAGGGTGGTAGCACTCCAGACCCTGGTGATGATTGATGGATTTTGAGAAGACCCCAAACCCTAACCTTTTCTTGCTAGCCTCTCTGAATCTCGAGGACGAGATTCATTTTAAGGCTGGTAGGTTTGTAACATCCCAAAATTCTAAATTTTGGAATGTTATAATAAATAGATAGCTTTGATTGATTGTTTGATTGATTGACTGAAAGTGAGTGAATTCGAAACTTTTGAAAGTTAAATGAGAGGGAATAAAAGGACTTTCCCAAACTTTCATATTTGCTTTCTGATCTCCATGAATTCAAATTCTTTTCAACACAAAACCCTAGAGAGAAGATGACATGACTTCTTCCATAAAAAAATGAAAAGGGTGTTTGAAAAATATTTGAATTCCATTGGGAAATATTTTCCCAATTCAGAAACTTTATGCAACTCAATGATTTTCACGAGAGAAGATAAAATGACTTCTTCAAATTATGAAATATGAGTTGGGAGTTTCAAAGGATCAATTTCAAGTCCTTTTGGAATTAATTTTCAATTTGGAGTTATTTGAGTTTTATTCAAATTATTTTCCTCCAAAATTAAATATATGGAAAATAGGGTAACATGATTCCCTACATTAGAAAATTGGAGAAAAATTAATTTGAAATCATTTTGGTATTTTTAAAATGATTTTTTGTTGGATTTTAATAGACCAGTAGCACTCTTTGATTTATCTGAATTTGTGTGTATTTTATTTAATGCTAGAAAAATGTTCATGTCGTAGAAAATCTTTTTCTGAATATTTTGATATATAATATGCCTATATAATATTTTATTTGCTTTTGTTTTATTTTTCATTTGTGTGTGTTTTAAAAAAAAACTTTCCCCGACTGGGCCGGCCCAGCCAACCGGCCAGGCCAAGGCCCAGCTCCGCGCCGCCTTCCCCATCGTGGCCGACCGGGACTCCACCGGAGTCCGGCGCCGACACGGCTCCGGCCGGCCCCTCGCCCACGCCAGGGAGCCGCCCCGCCCCCATAAATGCGCCGGCCCCGCTGCCTCTCTTTCTCCTCACCGCCCCGCTTCTCGCCGCCGCCTCGAGCCGCATCGCGCCGCCGCCGCTGCCAACCACCGACGTCGGAGCCGCCCGCGCCGCGCCCCTCTGCTGCCTCGCCGCGCGCCGCCTTGCCTCACTGCCGCCTCTGCTGCCTCGCCGCGCGCCGCCGCCGCCGCTGCAAGCTCCGCCGCCTTGCAGTGCCGACGCCGCTGCCGCATCACTTCGCCGGAGCCGCCGCGACACTCGCCGGAGTTAACCGCCGCCGCCTCCGGTTTATTTTCCTCGAACCGGTATAACCAAAAAAAACCCGATCCGGTTTTCTTCGGTTTTTTTTCTTTTAGATCGTTTTTTTGTGGTTAGTCCCATACAGAGAACGTTCGCTGTCTATCCCTTCGGAGCGAACGAATCCATCCGTTAGCGTTCGGTAACGAACGTTTTCAATTTAGTCTTTTTCTTTTTCTGTTATTTCCGGCCAGGGACCTATATGTGAGGATTTTCCCTACAGTTTAGTCCCTGATCTTCAAACGACTATAACTTTTTACTTGTTAGTCAAAATCCAACGAAACCAACGCCCACTTATTTGTTACGAACCCCTCTATCCAGTAATCCAACTCAAACATGTTTTTGAAAAGTTTAAAATTTGAATTAGATCAGATTTGAATTCAAACTTCTTTTGATCATATCTTTTTATCCGTAACTCCGTTTGAGTTGATTCTTTTTGCAAATCGAAGCTCTTGACCTAAACTTTCTAATAAGGCCAAATTCACATAATTTTGGTACTGTTAGAAATTGTTTTATGTTGCAAGATTTATTTGCTTGGTTTTGATGTTTCCGAATTGTTTTCTTCGTTCTTCCCAATCTTTTGAGTGATTGCTTATGTGTGGTTACTATTGCTTGTTTACGATAGATTGACCGGAGTGTGACGAGTAGAGATATCAAGAGTTTTGAGTGCGAATCATCTTCATCAACATTGCAGGCAAGTTCACACTTTGATCATACCTTTTTCTACAACCCAGTTTTATTGCATTAGATCAATCCTCACACATTGCATGATTAGGATCTAATTAAATTGTGGGATGGGAAGTAGATGAGGTAGTACCTATTACCTGTTTATTATCAAACCTTTGGGAGTTATTTCAATGTTTGCTTATTATGCCATGCTATGCTAGTAGACGTGGATTGGGTGAGTGATATCCATGACAGATGTGAGATTGTTAATTAATGGTTTACTTAAGGTGGCAACTTAAACACACATCTGGGTGGATTGAGGCACCTGGTTATTCTAGGATTGCCTGTCTAGGCACCTGGGTAATCCAGGACTTGCCTGTTTTCTTTAGGACCGCCACCCAGGCTCAAAGGGATCATGAGATTTTTCAAACTAGAAACTTCCGTGTGCAGCCACAAGCCATTATGGGCTCTGGCATAGTTGATTAAGTCGTGCGAACTCTTACGGGTAGACTAGCAGATGTAGGGGAAAGTAGGTGTACCGGTCTACCCACATGTAAGGTGCTAGCGCTTCTGAAAGACTGTGTCTCAGTCATCCGTCTTCTCAAACACCCTGTAGTGCGAGAAACCAAACGGAGGTGATCGAGTCTTGTGGGGAAAAGTGCGCAAACCTCTGCAGAGTGTATAAACTAATCATGATTAGCTGTGTCCCCGGTTATGGACATCTTGAGTATCTAGTTCTTGGATTATCCTGTTGATCTCATCATGTTACTTTAAATGAATATTGTTGGGTTTAATGATGTTACTTAATTGGGATTGAGAATGCTGTCAACCATTCTCAATGTTCAACAACCACCATGATAGTTAAATAAAATTTATTCCTTTGCAGTAGGGAAAAATTGGCTTTACGCAAAAACATTATAACCATAGAGCTTCTCCACCAGCCATATATGCATATAGTGATAGCCATTGTTCATCATTTTCTCTATGGTGTGAATTTGCCAGTACATTCAATGTACTGACCCGTTTCGGGCTGCAACGTCTCATGTTGCAGGTTTCTTACGACGAGTAAGTGATACGTTAGGGTTACGATTCCACACTCAACTTTGGCGTTGGTGTTGATGGGAACCCACAACCTTGTTGCTTCCGCTATATGGATTGAGGTAATAGTATTTACGTTACTTTTACATGTGATTTACCTCTGTTATAAATCCTCGAGTACTGTGTGTGTCAGCATACCGATCCAGGGATGACACTTAAGCACAGAGACTTGACCCATTCGGTTCGGGTCGCTACATCAGTTATAGTGAAAGGCTTCTGTATAAAAAAACTACTAAATGATCACAAAAACTTCTAGACAACATTTTGTATGATCTGACCAAAACTTGAACTAAATGATCACCAAAAGTTGAAGGATTTTGCATCACATCACAACCATAAGTGTTCTGCACCAGCATCATAACAATCACATAACTACATAACAAAAGCAAACTTGTTCATCATTACAAAAGCAAACTTGTTCAACATAACAAAAGCTAACTTGTTCAGCATTACAAAAGCAAACTTGTTCAACCACATAACTGCAAACTGAGACACATAATACCAGAAACAACTCAATATCCCCAGTAGTAGGGGTCATCCCAATGATCCTCCACCTCTTGCCAGTACTCCAAACCTTCTTTGACGATTTCGATTTTCTTCCATGCCTCGTAGGTGACGTACGCATCTTTCGTTGCGTACTCGATGAGGTTGTTTGGCAGTGGGCTGTCCCCCCATAGTTTGTGGTCCAATTCCTTGTTGATCTTCTGCTTCATTTCCTTTTACGATGGGTGGATGAGGTTGGCTGCAAACTTAGCCAAAGCCTGCCACTTCTTTCCATTGTTTGGAACTCTCCATTTGCGCTGCATGTCGACGTACTTGTCGGGGTTGATCTCCAAACCAGACAATTTCAGCTTCTCCTTGTCACCTCCAATGGAGAAGCCAACAAAGGTGTACAACTTCTTCTCCTGCAGGAGCGGGCGGAGTTCCTTGGGCCTGCATCAAATTAATCTGGTGCATCAAATTCATCTACTTCAAAAACTTCAGAAACTACTAATTAGACATAAAATTTAGAACTAGTATTGCATCTACTCCAGAACTTCAGAACTAGTATTGCATCTACTTCAGAACTTCAGAACTATTGCATCTACTTGAGAAACTTCAGAAACTTCAGAACTATTGCATCTACTTGAGAAACTTCAGAAACTACTAATTAGACAGAAACTTCAGAACTTCAGAACTAGTATTGCATCTCCTTCAGAACTTCAGAACTATTGCATCTACTTCAGAAACTACAGAAACTACTAATTAGACAGAAACTTCAGAACTTCAGAACTAGTATTGCATCTACTTCAGAACTACAGAACTATTGCGTCTACTTCAGAAACTTTAGAAACTACTAATTAGACAGAAACGTCAGAACTTTAGAAACTTCCGAACTTGATGTTTTTACCATTTGGTTGCCGCGGTGATGTGGTATACCAGGACAAGATCCTCCACGCATAACTGTAGAACTACAGCCTTTTGCGGAGGTTCGTCTTCCCTCGTATACTCGACATCAACGCCGATCGACCGAGAAAGCATGCCGCCGAGCCTCCTCCTGATCTCGCGGATCCTCTTGTCGGCTTCGTCTGGATTGCTGGTGCATACGACATCCAGCTTCTCCTTCTTCAGGTGGATATCAACCATGAGCGGCACGGTGTAGTCCTGCTTCTGCCCAGGGACCGAAACATCGTCGTCGACCACCAGCGGCTCCTTGCCAGACGCCTCACCTTGGTGATGCTTGGCAGATGGAGGGGAGTTGCTCCACGATGCCTCCGCCATTCTCTTGGCAGACGGAGGGGAGTTGCTCCACAATTCCTCCGCCATTGCCCTCCTGGCCAGCGATGGTGGAGGCAAAGGGGAGTTGCTTGATGGTGGAGGCAGAGGGAGGCAGAGGGAGGAAGATGGAGCGGCAATGGAATGAGGAGGGAGGCAGAGGGAGGCAGATTGAGCGGCAATGGAATAGGAGGGGAGTTCCCTGCGTCGTGGGGAGTTGCCAGTGGAGGGGAGTCGTGGGGAGTTGCCAGTGGAGGGGAGACGTGGGGAGTTGCCTCGAAAACTCAAACGTCCTGCCCTTTGGCCCTTGAAAAATCTGGAGGGGAGACGTGGGCCCTTTGGTTTGTCCTGTTTCTGAAACAAAACAAAAAAAATAACAGCCATATTTTGCTCTCACTGCAACCCTATTAAGAGATCAAAAATGGCACCAAAAAGTCACTGCAGCCATCCTAAATGGCACGAAAACAGCACCAAAACAACATCAGCCAAAACAGCAAAAAATGCATCAATCGATTGTTCTTTATTTTTTCTAACATTCCATGTTCTGTGCAGTGAGATAGACACAACGCTACATATGCAGGCTGACAACGCCGCGATTTCATGACCATCAGGACAGACGGCGGCTTCATCCACGCTCCGGTCCCATGAGTCGAGTCGAAAGTAGTGATGCTATGTGTAGTTCTGAAACATTGATTGGCTCATGTTGTAATTAAACTTTAATGAATTGTATGTCTCTTTGGTTTGGACAATCGTTCAACTTAGATGTAATCGATGCTATTTATTACTAGGACCATGAATTGTGCTATTAATGTCTTGCTTTTCTCTTCCGATCCTTTTGTTGCATACTTATTTATTGCTTATGTATTGTCTGTTGTTTGGCTTGTGCATAGAGATGCCTTCGTATGTCGTGTACAAGGGTAAGGTTCCCGGAGTCTACGACGACTGGGAGGAGTGTCGGAGACAGGTTCACCGTTTCAGCGTTAACAGTTACAAAGGGTACACCACTAGGGCGGAGGCGGAATCTAGATACGCCCGCTATCTAGCGGGAGAGAGGAGGGAGCGTTGGAGGAACCGGATGAAGACCAGTTTCATCGCGATGATGCTCATCGTGATGACCGCAACTCTCTTCTATGTGATGGTAGTTTAGATGATCGATATCGACTTGTAATGTGAAGACAAACTCGCTACTCGCGGTCTCGAGACTTGTAATGTTCTATCTTTGTTCGGTCTTTTGAATTCGGAGACTAATATGATGAATTGTATTCGGAGAGCTATCTTCTATTGTATTCGAGGAATGTGTTGTTGCTGTGTGGTGCTGTCTATATTCTGTCCAATAATATATTTTGTAACCTGTGAAAATATCAGAAATGTGCATTTTTTCGACCACCTCCAAATCACCTCAGTTTTGGCACACATGATCTCTTCCACAAACAAAACTAGGTTTCCAAATTTTTGTATTTTTTTGAATTTATAATGCCCTCTAGACTGACTGCTGAAAACATCGGTCTATGCCTCAAGGGGGCATTGTAAAATAATTTTTTCAAAATTTTCTTGCATACACATGTTTTGCACATGTGGGTGACCATGTACAAGAAAATTTGGGTGATTTGGAGGTGGTGGAAAAATTCACGTTTTTTTCAAAAACTGGCTTAAGTTGGTCCCTCCGGGAATGCGGGCATTTTTTCGACCACCTCCAAATCAC